ATATTTTATTTGTTAATATACTTACAAGGTGTATTGATTTTTTATGATTTGAAATGTAGTCATTTATTCGTAAAGACAATTTGTGGGCAACATTTTTATTTTATTTATTCAGTAGTATAACTAACCTTATACGTATGTAAAGGTTTTTTTCCTATGAAACTTTTTACTGTGATCTACAATTTAAATATTTGCTTGTCAAAACTGTGACTGTATACAAAATAGCATCATGCTTTAAATAATTTTTTATTGCAGGCTTTTGTGGATTCTGAGTTTTTCGAAGAATCCTCAGAAGACGATTCAGAGGATTGCGTGGATGAAATGCCAAAAAATACAACAGCATTAGTGTTATACTTAGAAGAATTAATAGAAAATTAAGAATTAGTCAAGCAGCCGTTAAGTATTCTAGAAGTAAAAAAGTGTTGTTGTATAGTGTGAATGTAGAGATTTAAAAATTGTTTTTTTATATAATTTTATTGATATTTTTACCTGTCGTTCTTTTTGTAGTTGCTTTAATTCTTTTATTTGATAGCTGATCTCTTCTGCAAGGTATTTTCTCATCAACTTTAATTCATACTCTAGATCGAATTTTTGAAGATACGGGCGTACATACGTCAAAGAGTATCTCAAGGCATCTGCAATTTTTAGTATTCTTATATTTTTGGCATCATTTACTTAATAATTTCATAATAACGTATTACGAGTCCCCGAAAAAAAGTATATTAAATTGCAAGCACTACTGCATATTCTAAAGCTTTTTAAGGAAACGCAAACAAGAAAGCATAACTTACAAGAGAAATTTCGGTTTCTGATATATTTCAAGCAATGTAGGTGATAATATTTTTTTGTGAATTTTCTTATATTAAATTATAATTATAATTATTTTTTAACAACTCCACGTGATTTAAAATACTTTTTTTTTAGTTGCCTTACTGGAATATATTGAAAATCTCAATCTTTAATTTGCAAAATGTATGTGGTAATTACCTCCAACAATTGTGAATTTTTTTGGCGTTAACGGTTTTCTTGGAGAGTCGCGATCAGAAACTTTGTTAGGTTAATTTTTAGCAGATAAACATCGATTGGCTCAAACACTTGGGCTCCATACATTTTGACTTATGTTCTTGACAAAGCTCGAAGCAGAATTGGCTAGTTTACACGATGACCAACTTTCATTAGGAATGTAGATTACACCACCTATATATACAACTTCATTTCCCTACGGTTGTATGGAAATGTTTATGCAATTATAAAGTTGAATAATAAGTGACGAAATGAGGTATCACCTCATTATCCTTTATCTTCTTGTACTTTTGGATTTTCGAAATCTGATAAACAATTATAACGTTCTCATTGCTTGCTCGTGCAATAACTGATTGTGCCTCTGAAATATAACGCTTAACTTTTTTTGCCAGGGCATGGAAGGTAGCATCAAGTTTCCAGAGATACCACACTCATCTAGAGGCGTAAAATCTTAATTATCTTCACAATCTGAGAAACTTTACGTAAATTGATATGTCAAATTTAATTTATTTCTAATTGTGAATCAATACAAAAAATGTGTACCATGAGGCCGTTTTTTAGTGGTGTTGAATGGTAGAGTTTTTTTCACCTTTCGTAGCTGCTAAATTTCACGCTCTAATTGCAATTTTTGAAGTTGCAAAGCTGAAAGATTTTCTTGAACTGTTGCTTATGTCAAAGTGTCGTCAGTATTTTTTTCTGTTTCTGTGCTACTTGTAATTACCGAAGATAAATTAATAAGATTATTCATCTTTTTCCTTAAAATGTCTCTTTCTCTGCGCTCGTCACCATTATCTGGACTGCCTTTACACTGTGAAAAGTTCATATCATTTACTCTCAATTCCAATTAAACGTTTAACTACTGTACTAAAAACATGTTGGTATTCTAACTAAACGTGTTACCGCATCAGAAACATGCTGGTCATCAAAATACTCTTCAAAGGAAAAGTTTTCATTACTATTCTCTTTATTGGAGCCTGTGCCATGACTTGATGAGTTATTGAGAGACAAGTCGTTTATATCACTGTTGTTGAATTTTGTAAATCTGTATCTTCTTGTACGACTAGTGGCATCCTCTTGCACATCTTTTTTTAAACGACTCTCTGCTGTGATGATTAATTTTGGTAAGTGGAGTAGACTATGTGATGACTTAAGTATATAACATTTAAGATGTAAAATGATTATGAATTGGTATTTACATCCTAGAGTAAATATTTCGATAGGTTGCCAAGGCTCCCTAACCTTTCGCCTGCAACGGTACATTTGCTTCTTAACAAAGTCATACTGATCTTCAGGCGATTCGAGTTGAAATTCCTTGATATTTTTAAGCTGCATTATCTCGATATAATTTGAATCAAGGAAACGGGACAGGATGGCGGTACTCAAATTTATTAAACATATTAAACAAAAAGGTTTTAACATTTAATTGTGTATTTTGAAAAAAAAACCCTAACATTATTTTGCAGGGAAGCCCACAAAATCTTCATGATGACTTCAATTCAGCTATTGGCACACAATATGACCTGNTGCAGCTCTAAGCAGGTGGTGAGCTCCATCTAAGGCTGAATATGACCACGAGACCGATAGCGAACAAGTACCGTGAGAAAAAGTTGAAAAGAACTTTGAAAAGAGAGTTCAAGAGTACGTGAAACCGTTCAGGGGTAAACCTAAGAAATCCAAAAGTTCGAATGGGGAGATTCAGCGTAAGTGGCTGTTGGTATATATGTACATACATGTGTATGTATACGGAAAAAATCCTACTCAAGAGAATAATACGAGTCATCAGTCTGATAAACAAAGTCAGAACATCCTAAGCAGACACCTGTGTTATATTTCTTAAGAAACTGCAGTCAGAATAAAATATAAATTGCCAGAATGATTGAGCAATCCTGCTACTAAAATACTACACGGTATCATTAGTAAAAATTAACACTCTAATAGCAGAAGACATACGCACCAAAAAAAAAAAAAAAACAGAGCTCGACAAACGACGACGTAAAAAGAAGCAAAAAACCATAGTATTCGCTAACAAGAGTAAATGTCCAGTAAAAAAGAAGCCAAATATATGCGGAAGATCAACAAACTTTTGCCTAAATAAACAAAGAAAAAAAAAACAAGAAAAAAAAAGTTACCTACAAACGGCCTATAAATTATATATACACAGTCCTCAATTAGAGAAAAAAACAAATATTCATTGAAGCTGAGAAACATTTTTTAATGACATCGGGCGAAAAGAAAAAAAGCATTTTGTATATAAATTAATTCCGTAAGCAATGAACACATCGTTTAGAGTCCACTAATGTAAGAAATAAAAAAAAAAAAAATAAAAAAATGTTATATTTAATAAGAAAACTCGTATAGGCATTTTTTTACGAAAAAAAATGTAGACTTTAGTAAAGGAAGCATTTAATGCAAGGCAATAAAATATATGTGTAAAAAGAATGAAAGATATACAAACTTAATGCTAAAAACCCATTTACATAGTAAGTTTTTAACAGATCATTTTATCCCTGGAACATTGGGTGCAAAGATTCAGTACGTGTACTCAACACACCTTCTCTTTCTTTATTACAACGATTGCATCCAAGTACCATTTCCCATGGGGGCCCCTTTTACTAATGTGTTATAGATTGGTTACAGATAACGACAAACATAACAGACAGCAAACAGTAGATGAGACAACATTGGAGAGAAACACCACTCGGTTACCCATGGATCAACTTGAAAGATTAACAGCAATAATAAAAAAGAATAATAGCGGTAATAATAAAATAATACAACATTCTTTCGATCTCGATTGCGGTAATAATAAGATGATACAACAGTCTTTTGATTGTAGAAAGTCTGAATTGACCGAGAAAATATTACACATGGAATGTAAATCAAAAAAATAAATGAAAGATAAGAATAAATAAATTACCCTGAACGGTGGATCACTTGGCTCGTGGGTCGATGAAGAGCGCAGCTAATTGCGCGTCAACTTGTGAACTGCAGGACACATAAACATCGACACTTTAAACGCACATTGCGCTCCTCGGATGTATTTCCTGGACCACGTCTGGCTAAGGGTCGTTCGATAAGAGAACGAAAAGACCGCTTATCACGAAAAACCTTGACGCGTCGTTATCTACAATCTGTTCGATAGTTTTTAGGTGTACAAGCAAAATAATTGGGCGTAATGCGTCGCTCGAAATAAAAAGAAATATTGAAAAAGAAAAGATAAAAAAAACAATAAAGTGATAAATTGTCGATGGTGGTACGATGATACAAATAGAAAACATTGTCACGAAGGTTGGAAATTTTTTTTCATTCGAAAAAAAAAGTCTCGGTTTTTTATTGATGAAATGCATTTCGTACGAAGCAACCTTTATTGGGTCGCGCGTGCACGCTCGTCGTGTCGAACGCCAGATCGCACCCATTGATTTTTGTAATGGTTCTGCGAACAAAGACTGATGTGCGCTCGTAAAATCTTCAACATTGTTTATCGTATCGAAAGTCCGCATTTCAAACGAAACCAAGAAATTAAAAATAATTATACAAAATTGACGGACAAGAGTGGCAACGTTAATGCCGTTTGAATTATTTGTCATTCTTTTTAATTTTTTTTTAACTTTTCTTTGGGTCGTCGTTCGATCAAGTCCCGGAGCTCTCATTAAATAAGTGTTTATCCGAACACTGTTAAATTAAGAGTGGATCAGATGAGCCGTACAATCGTCAAAAACACTTCTGCGTCGTGGAATGGAAAGCAAAACAAAAAAATTTAGCATCGCAGGAATGAAGGAAAGAAAGAAAGAAGCAAAAAAAACCGCTATTTGGTCGATGCAATCTTTTTAATATTTTTCTTTTTGTTTTTTGTATTCTTCTTCTTACATATTTTTTTTTTAACGTTGTACGTGTATAAATAATTTTTTTTGCTCTCAATTATTTTTCCAAATCACATTGCTGAGACGAAAATTATTATCGTACAAAAAAATTAATAAAGA